TATATATGGAAGTAAAAAAAGTACCTAGTTATATGTATCTTTAATCAAAGAATAAATCTGGGTAGTCAAAAAATTTCGGATTTTAAGTAAAATAATTTCATCTTCTATGAAAAACTATTTTGACTTTTTTTCCTGAAATTGCAATTTCGGGACTCCAAAATAATTTTGCGTGCAAGTATAACTGAGACAATGCGACGGGTGCATACAGGGAGGACAAAGACCTGACAAAACACTTAGTCAATAAGAACGTATGTCTGTTTAAAATGGGAGTTGCGCATACAGTGGGAATTAATGTCGTTAACAGTAAAATATCATTAAGGACAACACCAGATCAAACATTTAAACTAAGACTACGATCAGAGAGAGAAGCAATTGAGGATGGATTAAATAAAATATTTTACAACTCGCAACTGGAGGACAATCAAAAGAGAAGTGAGTTTCCTAACACCACAATTGATAAACTACTAAATAACTGGGGTACTATTCACGAAAAGTATAATAACTTTTGGGAAAGTATTGAAATTAAAGAAAAATTAAATAATATTTGCACTTCACTCAATTAATGTAAAAATTTAATTGTCTATACAGATGGGTTATTAAACAAACAGACAGCTAATAATATCGACAAAATGAAAACAAAACCTTTAATAGGTTGTGGATGGGTAATATTGGGAGAAAGGGGGAAAAATATAAGTTTCATGGAAAAGTAATAAAATACCTATCATCAACAAGAGCAGAGCTGATGGCCATACTTACTGCAATCTATACATGTTCAAAAGAATCAGCTTTAACAATATACACAGACAGTCAAGCCTTAATTGACGCTTTACAGGTGATAACAAAAGATGTAAACAAAGTGAGAAAGAAACTAAATAATTAGACATTACTAATAACAATTCATGAATTGATAATAATGCAGAAAATTAGAATCAAATATATTAAAATAAAAGTACACTCGGGTATTGAATTGAATGATGAAGCAGATAGACTGGCTAAGGAGGAACAGAGGAGAATAGTTTGTGAACTAAACATAGACATTCTTATTTTGGTCAATGCAACACCATGTTAGAACTCCCTCATAATAGAATAACCTATACATAAATTTGCCAAGAAATATAGTGCAACTAAACAGTCTTGTAAGTGGAGATTATTGAACTGAAACGTTGATAATTTGAGTAATACAAACTTGGAACTAATTAATTGGAAATTGTCTTGGAATACAACTATAAGATTATATGAAGAGAAACAACAAACTAACACTAAGGATAACAGAATGTGATCATTAAACATGAAGATATTTAACAATGAGCTTCCAACCTTACAAAAACTTAAGATCAGATATCCATTAATATATAAGACAGATAAATGTTTTCGCTGTGACCTCTTAATAGAGGATCAGGCACATGTTTTTACATGTGAAAACAATTCAGTAATACTAGAATTGTGTAAAAACTGATTTATTACAATCTTGATAGAGCAACTCTACAGTAACGGCTCCTACATTATCAATGACTTCTTAGAGAGTAATCTAAATAATTTGAAAGCAATAAAATTAGGTAAAGAAGGAATGCATAAAAATAAAGATGAAATTTTATTTTTGGATATAATTATGGGACTAATACCGTAATCATTAATAAACTTATTATAAACAATGATTAAACGTGAGGAAGAACTAAACCAAGTTATATATGACACATTTAAATGTTTCAAATTGTTTGTACAAAAAGAGATATGGAAATATAGATGTGTTATATTTAAGGAATGGAAAAGAAATAATAGTATTAAAACTTGTAAAGGAAAAAAAAGCTTAGTAAATAGGAAGGAGGTAACAAACGATACAAATAATATTAACACTATAAATAGTGAAAACATTGATAACATTAATAACACTGATAATAATAATTTAAATAATAGTAAAATAGCTGAGAAAATACATAAATTAAACATTTGTAATTATATAATTAAAGAACATATAATAGGATTAGTCCACAATGGTGATTGTTAGACAAATGTTTATAAAATAAGTTGTTCGACAGGGCTTTAACATGCCAAGGGCAAGTTCACTTGTTAGGCGGTAGGTTGCAGGCATGTCTCCTTTGAGTTAATATGAGTCTCATCTTTTCAATAAAATTAGGATAAGTTATATATCTTCGTTAGTAATAATGCAAGAGACTTTCTCTTTTCTTAATTAATAAATTTAAGGCAAGGCCTCGCTAAAACTTTAAAAAAAAAAAAGTGTAAATACATGAATTTCTTTTTTCAATTTTATTTAATTAAATATATAAAAATTTTGTAAATAAATATATTATTATACATTGTTTCTTATTTTGCATTGTTCTTTATTTTGCATTATTCCCTATTTCACATTGTTCACATTGTTCACCTAATTTAGTCATTTGTTATTGACATGTTTTCAAAATTAATTTTGGATTTTTGAGGTATTTCGACTTTTGAAATTTTTGCAAAATTTATTCTATATATAGAAGTAATAAAAGTACTTAGGTATGTGTATATTTAATCAAAGAATAAATCTGGGTGATCAAAAAATTTTGGGTTTTAAGTAAAATAATTTCATTTTCTATGAAAAACTATTTCAACTTTTTTTCCTGAAATTGTAATTTCGGAGTTCCAAAATAATTTTGTGTGCAAGTATAATCTGTTATATTAATTTTACTTATTAGATTAAATTTGAAAAGTGATGTAAACACAAATAAATTCAATGAAATGAAATTTATCTTGAAATTATATATTGTGAAAAAGTTCTACAGAATTTAAATTTTTGTATAAATCTTTAAATATAACAAAAAAAAAATTTTAAGATGTGTGATTCTGAATTTACTTACATGGACATAGATTTTGAAGAATGTAGTACTTCAGAAGAAAATGGAGAAGACTCTTTCATTGTTAACGAAACTATTCTTGCAAATGTCTGGCTTTTATTAAATGAAGAAGAAAATGAAGATTATGACTATGGTGATAATTATAAAGATAATGATGAAAATAATGATGAAAATAATTGTAGTGAAAATGATGAAGATATATACATAAAAATAGAAGATACCTCTGTTAAAAGTTCAGATTTAACATCATGTGTTATTTTAGATATTATTGACAATGAAATAAAATATTGTAATAATAAAACAAATTTGCATTCATTGAAACAAATGATAGGAACTTGGGAAATAGATACAAATATAGTCAAAGATATTAAGGATAGTAATTATAAACTTGGAGTATGCCATTCTCATTTTGTATTTGATCAGAACCAACTTCATACTAAAGGTGCAAAACAGTTGAGTTCAATTGATCAAAATATTCATTTTCACTTCTGTATTTTCTGTTATAAAAAAAAAATTTTTTAGTTGTGGTAACAGTTGCAAGAAGCATTTATGGAAGATTAATGGACATAACATTCAGATACCTTACATCGGTGTTCATAAATGTTTGGTATTTATTGAGAGACCTATTGTATATAAATCATCTTCTGGCTATTGTGCACAATATATATACGTGTTGCCCAAATCCCAAATCATTTGGGATTTGGGATGCCAAAATCCCAAATTACTAGTATTTGGGATT